CGGTTCACTCTGAGGCTTCCGTTGGAGGTGAGGAAGCAGTTACTGAACCGGCAATTGCAACGCGCGAGCAGCGTGATCGTGTTGCCGAGGGAAGGTAGTTCTCGGCTAGGTTACCGAAACGGTGGAGAGGGAAGTAGCAGAGGGAAGGCTTCGAGGAGCGTGAAATCGGAGCGCTGGATTTTCACCATGGCTGCGCCGTTTTTGGCCAGGGCCTTGTCTCTTAGGTCGCCTAGGGTGCGGAACGACGACGTTGAAGGAACGGCCTCCTCGTCTTCCACCGCGCCGATTATGCCGCCGTCGGCCGTTGACTCCGCCAAGCCTCCGGTTTGACCTGGTTTCACCAACTCCTTTTTTTTATTTATTTTTTCCTTGTATTTTTTTATTTTTTTATATCGTTTCCTTGTAGGGCACGACTTTTTTTATTTAATTTTTTTTGGTGCAAAATTTGTAAAGTATGTGTAATTAATAAGTTAGCATGTTTATTCGTAGGCCGGTTTCAGAGTAACTGGAAGATGATAAATTTGATACGGTCTATTTGTTTTGTTAAGTTCTTTAGTTGGGTTCCGATTTTATCATACTAGTGTAGCAAGCATGACTTTCTGTATATAAATCTTCTAACATACCAATAGAAAGGGAAAATGAAAAAAGTACAGCACTAATACAACAAAAATTGAGGACATTTCAATAGATGTCTCAAAATACAGCGGGAAAAGAAAGGAGATAAAATAAAAATATATTATAAAAATAGAGAAATAACCTCTCTTAATTAGAGTTATGGTATCTCCAATGGAAATAACTCATTTGAGTTGTTTCATTTATTGGAAAATGAAAAAAGTAGTCTTCAGTATGTTATGTCAGCATTAAACAACTCAAACAGAAATTTACTTCAATGATAAGAATTTTTAAGAAATTTAACTTTTAATTTTTTTTTCAAATCATTTATGAATCAAATTAAAAAATTTATTAAAAAGGACAATTGTACTACAATAAAAAGAAAATAAATTATGAGAAAATATACAATAACTAAATATTAAAAATAAAATAAAGCAATATAAATATATAAATATTATATTATTTTTTTTTTATTTTTTTATTTCTTATTTCTTTAACTTAAAGTCCCTTTTTTTCTTCTTCCTCGGAGGTTTTTTTCGTTTTTATTCACCCTTCCTTCTCATCAACTCCTCCTTCAAACACCTACCACCGTCGCCGCGTGCGCCAGGTCCAAGTAGAACATTCACCTGCGCAAAGCTTAGGAATGTCCACCCGCGGCAGAATGTCCACCCGCGCACCTCTACTGTCCAACAGCGTGCCTCCGCTGTCCAACTGCACGCCTCCGTCGTCCAACCGTGCACCTCCGCTGTCCACCCGCGCGCCTCTGCTGTCCACCCGCGCGCTTCCGCAATCCAACAGCGCGGCTTCGTCGTCCAACCGCGCGGCTCTGCCTTCCAACCATCGCCTCACCACCGCGCCTCCTTCCGTTCACAAAGGTAAGTAACGATTGCTTTACTAAGCAACCCTCTCTCTGCTGGAAGAAACTCTTGCTGTCACGTCACGCCTCTCCAATAGTAAGAAATTGAGGTTGGAGTTGCTTGATGAGTCAAACAACTCCCATTGGAGTTGCTCTAAGGTATATCTGACAGTGAAGAGTTTCCATAGTCCTAAATTCAAATTTCAATTTGAGGCACATAACAAAGAAATGCATTCATTAATAAAAACATGAAGTTAATGATATATACACCTTTTTTTTTTTATAAGTATACCTCCTTTATTTTTTAAAATTTTCATAACTTTTTTATTTTTAAAATTTTGAATTTTATATCTTTAACTTTCAATTTATTATTTTTTCTTTTCACACACCTTTCCATTCTCTTTTTTAATTTTCACATGTACTATTTTATCTTTTTCTAATTCCTCACTTATTTCAATGGATAAGTTTAGTTCTCTTTATTTTTATATTACTCTCTTATTTCTCACTTTTTTCACTTTTTCACATGCACCCAAATCATAGAACTGGTAGGCGACAATATTGTAGATACGTGTAGCTTTCTCGACAGTTTCTATCACACTAAATACACATTTTTTCTTTCAACATTTTCTTTCCTTTCAGATTCCAAAAACCTTAACATTAAGTTTAGTATTATAAAAAAGACATTTTCATTATTTAGAATATTATGTGGATAGTGAAATCGGCGAGAAAACTGAAAGAGGTAGGAAAAATAATAATGTAAAACTAAAAAAAATAAAATTACCTATCAAAATAAATAGGGGTGAATAAAAATTAAAGGCTTGCATGTAAAATTTAACTTTTAATTTTTTTTTCAAATCATTTATGAATCAAATTAAAAAATTTATTAAAAAGGACAATTGTACTACAATAAAAAGAAAATAAATTATGAGAAAATATACAATAACTAAATATTAAAAATAAAATAAAGCAATATAAATATATAAATATTATATTATTTTTTTTTTATTTTTTTATTTCTTATTTCTTTAACTTAAAGTCCCTTTTTTTCTTCTTCCTCGGAGGTTTTTTTCGTTTTTATTCACCCTTCCTTCTCATCAACTCCTCCTTCAAACACCTACCACCGTCGCCGCGTGCGCCAGGTCCAAGTAGAACATTCACCTGCGCAAAGCTTAGGAATGTCCACCCGCGGCAGAATGTCCACCCGCGCACCTCTACTGTCCAACAGCGTGCCTCCGCTGTCCAACTGCACGCCTCCGTCGTCCAACCGTGCACCTCCGCTGTCCACCCGCGCGCCTCTGCTGTCCACCCGCGCGCTTCCGCAATCCAACAGCGCGGCTTCGTCGTCCAACCGCGCGGCTCTGCCTTCCAACCATCGCCTCACCACCGCGCCTCCTTCCGTTCACAAAGGTAAGTAACGATTGCTTTACTAAGCAACCCTCTCTCTGCTGGAAGAAACTCTTGCTGTCACGTCACGCCTCTCCAATAGTAAGAAATTGAGGTTGGAGTTGCTTGATGAGTCAAACAACTCCCATTGGAGTTGCTCTAAGGTATATCTGACAGTGAAGAGTTTCCATAGTCCTAAATTCAAATTTCAATTTGAGGCACATAACAAAGAAATGCATTCATTAATAAAAACATGAAGTTAATGATATATACACCTTTTTTTTTTTATAAGTATACCTCCTTTATTTTTTAAAATTTTCATAACTTTTTTATTTTTAAAATTTTGAATTTTATATCTTTAACTTTCAATTTATTATTTTTTCTTTTCACACACCTTTCCATTCTCTTTTTTAATTTTCACATGTACTATTTTATCTTTTTCTAATTCCTCACTTATTTCAATGGATAAGTTTAGTTCTCTTTATTTTTATATTACTCTCTTATTTCTCACTTTTTTCACTTTTTCACATGCACCCAAATCATAGAACTGGTAGGCGACAATATTGTAGATACGTGTAGCTTTCTCGACAGTTTCTATCACACTAAATACACATTTTTTCTTTCAACATTTTCTTTCCTTTCAGATTCCAAAAACCTTAACATTAAGTTTAGTATTATAAAAAAGACATTTTCATTATTTAGAATATTATGTGGATAGTGAAATCGGCGAGAAAACTGAAAGAGGTAGGAAAAATAATAATGTAAAACTAAAAAAAATAAAATTACCTATCAAAATAAATAGGGGTGAATAAAAATTAAAGGCTTGCATGTAAAAATAAAGGAAATAAATATATAAAAAAAAGTGTTAAATTAAATATTAAGAGTGTAATATTAAAAAAATTTAAAAATAATAAAATTAAAAATATTTTAAGAATTTAATTATTTTTTTAAAATGAAGGTGTAGTCGTGAATCCGTAAACACATTAATAAAGCTCCGTTGATTCTCTTGCGTGAACGCGAGGCCCTAATATGCGGGGAAACACAAAAAGGGTCAAATTCAATAATCAAAAAACCAAAATCTAAAAAGGATTGGTGGAATGAAAAATCGTTCATTTAATTAATCCAATAATAAACAGAAAATGGAGCATCTCAAAATTCGTGATCGGTCGAAACTAGTATAAAAATACCGTTTTGAATCAGTCATATTTGAAAAAGTATTTTTTAATTTTAAAATTAATTTAATATATTATTAATAAAATAAAAAATATATTTTTTAAAATAAAATAAATTATTTTTAATACTTTTATTAAATAATATATAATTAATTATTTATGTTAATTTATAACTTTTAATATTTTGAACTTTTAAAATTTATATTATATTAAGTTGATAATTTTTTTTATTTTATATATAAATTTGTTATTGTTAATGGACAGTTATATTTTATTAAAATTTAAACTTATATATTTTATGACATTTAGTTTAGACTTTTATGTATATATTGAATATTAAAAACTTATAATTAATATTTTATTTTAAATTTATTTAATATTATTTTTATATTAATAATATTAATGATTTTTTTTATATCATTTAATCATAGTTCAACATGTGAATCTTGAAATGTTGTATAATTATTTGAATTTGTTGTTTTTAAATATATTATTATTAACATGAGAAATTAGAACAATTTTTTAAAAATATAAAAATTAAAAATAATAATTTTAAATTTAAAGGATAAACCAAATTTATTCATGGTCTTATTTATATTCCCTAAATCTTATTTAGGAATAAAATCCGTTGAATAACATAAAATTTACATAATTAGTCTTGCATAATTTGCATAATTAGTAAGACTGCTAATAATTTCATTTAATGAAAACATATATTATACTTCCATTTTTCAACATACAATGTGCTCAAACATCATAGAAACAATCTATCAAATAGAAAATGTTGTACTTAATTTTTATAGGGTATGAAAATCTGTTATGTGAAAATCTTTCGAACCGACACTAGTCATTCATGTCTCCCGATAAAAAATTTGTCAACTCTTTTTTTTTTTTTTTTTTTTGGAATAATTACCTTTTTGGTTTTCTTGTTTTTTTCATTTGAAAACACACACACACAAAAAAGAAAAATTGGTTACCACGTAGTATATTCCTTTGACTTTGGTGTCAATGCATCTTTTTTTTCTTTTTTTTCTTTCCCTTTGTAAATAAACTTTTCGCTTTCTATCACCTTATCACTTCCACGAAACGCTAAAAAAAATGGCGGCCTTAATTGACGATCCTTTTTATAATTTCTGCTGATCGAATATAAAATTCTTAAATTATTTTCTTTGTGATGTCTCTATTTAAATTATTAGTCATAGTTGGCGATGAGCAGCTTCCTTTTGGACCTGTTCAAACTTCACAACAAAGCTAAGTTATGTATAATTATTATTTTTATATTTCTAGTGTGTGTTTAGGTGGTTTTTCTTTTTTAAAAAAAAAATCATTGTGAAAGAAATTATACAATTTTTTATAAGTGAATTACTGTTTTTTTTTTTTTTAATTCATGTCAAGTCACTAAAGTTAATTTATGATAACTTGAAACTTAAGAAAGAAAAATAGTCAAAATACACAATCGAGTTGATTCAAATACTCACTAACCAAAATCTTTTAATTACTAGTTAAATGTTACATGAGTCAGCCCATAAAACTCCATACTTATACATATTTGTGAGTTGCAACTATTTTTATACATAATAGTGATAATAAAATTAAAATTTAGAATATATATTATCTAAACTCTACCTAAATATTTTTTTATCCATCAAAATTATAATGACAAGACCCTAATTTAAACCTAAGATTGGGTGTATGCTAATTCATCTCTCATGATTTTGAAACTATTGACCATGTGTTTCAATCTTACCCTATTTCTAGAGGGGTTTGGTATTTATTGCTTCCAGCTTCTAAGCATCATAATTTTTTTGTAATGGATACTAATTCCAAGGTTGGCTCATGCTCCATGGTTAGAGTTGAATTACGGGCAACTTATGTTGGTTATGCTCTTGCTTGTGGTCGAGGGTTTAAAAGCTTTTTAATGGAGCCAGACACCTAGCCATCAACTTATTGAGGAAAGGTTGTTCTTTTGTTCATCATTGTTTCAATATTGTTCATAGTATCAAGTCCTTGACAGAGGCACGAGGTGAGTTGGAATTATGGGTTTAATTATATGGTTATTTCATCTACTTTCTTTATTGGGGTAGGATCATACACCCTTATCATGCGACTTATTCATATAATCCACACTCTATGTTTCCACGAACAATTGTGGAGCAGCTCACAAAAACATAATTAGACTAAATCCAACCAGCGGACTCTTTTCTCCTTTTAGGGTTTTACTTTTGTATCATACCATTTGCTTTCTACATCCTTTTACGAATTAAAGTTCCTAAAATACTCCTAAAACTTATTTTATTTTGTTCTCATATATTTTGGAATGTTAAAATCTATTCCAAAATACTCCGTCTAGAATGTTTAAAATGTGTCATGAAACAACTAATTCAAAATGCTAAATATGTTCTAGAACACCTAATATGAAATATTAAAAATATGTTTTGACACAACTAATTTAGAATAAAAGAATGTATTCAAAACACTCGATTTAAAAGTTTAAAATATATTACGAATTGAGCTTTTAAAAATTTAGATACTAGATTGATTAATAATTATTAATACCAGATAATTTATTATAATATAAATAAGAAGTTTGAAAATGGTGAGAGGACAAAAATTAGAAAATACCCAAACGATACATGTTAATATTTTAGTGTTTTAGATTAATTACGATTGACATTTATAATTTTTTTATTATAAAATATAAATTTTAATTATGAAGAAAAAAGCTTTTTAATTAGTCGGAGTATGATTCGGGACATTCATTCGAAGGATATATATATATATATATATATATATATATATATATTATTTTTCTCTCATATATATCTTTGGCATAAAAAAAAAAAGGATTTTTTTAAAAATTATTTTTATTCAACCTACGGACTTGTCCATTCAACTACAAACTTTATGGAATAGATAGAAACCTTAAAAAAAGACCATTTATTTTATAGGTCAAATTCATCCAATTTATTTAAAATGCAAGTTTAATGGACTGGACTAATCTATATAAGCATCCGTAGTTTTGTAACATATTTTTAACATTTTGAGAAGGGAAAGAAAATATGTTTTAAAGGTACTTTTTAAATTTTGATATTTTTGAAAAGGTGCATGAAGTAAAAAGTATGGTGAAAAAGGTAGAAGTTTTGTTGTTGTTGTTTATTTTTAGCAAAAATACATTTTTATCCTTTATATTATTTATTAAATTTAATTTAGATTTATTTTAATTAATTGAATCAATTTAGTTTCATATTTTTTAAATATATTTTAACGTTTAACTTTCCGTTTTTTCCGTTTAAATACTTAACAAATATGACATGTATTATGTCACGTGTCATGTTATTATATCACGTGACATGACATATAACACGTGACATGACACGTGATATGATAATATGACATGTGATATGGTAGCATGACACAGATCTGTTAAGTATTTAAACGGAGAAAACAGAAAGTTAAATATTGAAATATATTTTAAAAATATAAGATTAAATTAATTCAATTAATTAAAGTGAGACTAAATTAAATCTAATAAATAATATAAGAGAAAAAATATATATTTTTACCTTTATTTTTTCTTCTAATTGCCATGGGTTCGGCCTAATTCGCGTTCCCCTTCTGTCCTAAATCCAACTATTTCTCTTTAGAGTGAAGATATATCTTCCGAATCCTTTTCCGAATCATCGTCAGAAAGTTAAAATATTAATATTTTTTAATAAATTTATTATAAAATAATTATTTAATTTAATATTTTATAATTTAAATTAATATTTTAATCTTTCGAAATGTTTTTGGGAACGAAGAATTCGGACGCCTTATCATTTTTCTTCTCTTTATCATCTGACATATAATTAAATAAATATTTTTTAATTATTTATTGTTTAATGGTATTCTCTTACAATATTTTTTATTTCACAAAAAATATTAAATATAAGTAAAAGCATTTAATACTTTTTGATTCATTAACAAGAAAATTAATATAAACATATTTTTAAGAGATATTTAATTTAAAGTGATTTATTATTTTCTAAAAGTTATTTAATATTCTTCCTTTCTTATTACTTAGAGCGAAAGTAAGGTGAAGATGGAAAAGCGCGTGAATTTAATAATGGTATTTAATCTCCATAACTTTAACATATCGTAGTAGTAAGTACAAAAATTACGAAGAAAACGACAAAATTAAGCTGCAAAATCGCACTTGAAAGTGGCTTTAGAAGCATAAAACATGAAGCGTGTGATGGGAATTGAGTATTGATTGTTACAGGATGAGGCTTCTGCCACCGCCTTGTGTATGAACGCCAACTCATAGTACACAGGTCCACTGCAACCACCTTGTCTATAAATAAACGTTTGAAAGCGTCACTGCTTCACTTTTAACGTACGAAAACACATAACACACTAGTGCCTCCTAACCGACCTTTACAATATCTTAAAACATACTCCCTCTTTCTCTGTTTTGTGTTGTGACTTCTTGAAACTGCTAATTAAGGATATGAGTAAACAAGACTTGTTTAAAATCCAGGTACTTTCTATATATTGTCATATATATATCTCATGTTTGTTAATTGGTTCAATGATACTTGCTTCTTGTGTTTGGTTTTCTTATTTTCTCACTGATTTGTGTTGCTGGCCTTTGTTTTCTTGTAGAGTTGTGTACTCAAGGTTAATATCCACTGCGATGGCTGTGAGAAAAAAGTCAAGAAACTGCTGCAGAAAATCGAAGGTACGTACTTAATTTCTCGCAACATTTTTCTTGAATTTTTTTTTTTTTCTCTTAATGCTTCATCTCTCAACTTTACCATGTCACTTAATATGCCCCACTTTTTTTGTTTTGGATCTCTCCTTAATTAGATTTATTCAATGACTAAAAATATGTGATGTATGGTTGTATGATGTATAAATGTATTATTTTGAGTCTTCAACTTTACTTGTTGTGTATGGATCATGGTTCTAATTTTCGTACGCTACATTATATTTAGTTGCTTCATTTTGTAACTTTTATGCTAATATAATAGTAATGGATTTTTTTGTTGTTGTTGATGTTGTTGTTAAGGGGTGTATTCTGTGAGAGTAGATGCAGATGAAGGGAAAGTGGTTGTTGCAGGCGATGTGGATCCAGCCAAACTAGTGAAAAAGCTGAAGAGGGCAGGGAAGCATGCTGAGATATGGGGCGGTGGCCAGAAAGGAATGATGTTCGATCAAAATTATTCCATCAACTCCCCATTTCAGAACATGCTAGTTGATAATGGTAAAGGGGCAAAGGACAACAAGTCTCAAAATCACAAGGGTCAGAAAGGTAGGGTTGTTGTTGGTGGTGGTCATCAAGATCAAGTTGGTCAACTAGCACACTTCCAAAATGTTAAAGGGGTTCAGGATTTCAAGGTACCTACCAAGGAGCACAAATCTGTCAAGTTCAACTTGCCAGAGGAGGATTTTGGTGTAAATGATGATGATGGTTTTGATGAGCATGAAGACAACTTTGATGATTATGATGAAGAGGAAGAGAAAGGAGTTGGTCATAGTACAATGCATCAAAACAAGATGATGCCAATGATGGGGGATGGCCGTGGGCCTCATGGGCCTGCCATCAGCAATAATAGCCTTAAAGACAATGCTTATGGGAGTAGGAATAATAATGGCAGTGTCGAGAAAGGTGACGTCATTGATCCTACAATGTTATTCAAGGGCAAAGGTGGAAATTACATTGCGACCAAAAGTGACAACAATGGGGGAAAGAAAAGTGGCCTAAAATATGAAAACAAAAATGAGGATAAGCCTAAGCATAAGGGAAGTGCTTTTGGAGATTATGATAACAAGAAAAAGAATGGCAAAAGTGATGGTGGATTACTAGGTCGGTTACTAGGCTTTGGGAAAAAGAGCAAGAAGGTGGAATTTGAAGAAGTGACTTATGGCAATAGGAGCAAGAACCAAAACAATAAAGGCAAGGAAGGGAAATTGAAGGGCCACGAGGGTAAAAAGGACATTGACTTTGATGATTTTGGAGACTATGATGACACCCTATTTCATCACAAAAATAGCAAGCGTGGTAAAGACGAGCAAACTGTCCCAAGCCCAAAAGCGGGAAATTATCCAATGGACAGTAAGGGTGGTAAAGAAGATCATATGGGCCCAAGCCCAAAAATGGATGATTATCCAATGAGGCATGAGATGGAGAATATTCCAGCAATGCAAGGAGTTCCATCGATGAAGAGTGGTGGTGGGGGTTACCAAGGGATGCAAATGCAACATGCTCCATATAATAATAACCTTCAGCAGCAGCAGCACTACTTGACTATGATGATGAACCAACATCAACATCAGCAAGCAAATGTGAACAACAACAACAACATGATGTACCCACCAGCCATGATGTATGGTATGCCACATCCATCTATGAACTACATGCCACCACCACCCATGCCATCCCACCCTATGGCCGATCCTATTACTCATACTTTCAGTGATGAGAACGTTGAGAGTTGCAGTATCATGTAGTAGTAATTACTAGTGAGTGTATTCACAACTTGCATTTCAGTAGTTCTGTTTTTTTTCTTTTCTTTTTGAAGTTCATTAAATTTTGTGTAGGACAGGAAAATGTGTAATGTTTAGGAATATATAATACATAATATATAAATATAAACAATGTTATAATGTTTGTTCATTTTTTCCCTGTTTTGATTAGAAAATTTTAATTATACATATCTAATTTTACAGTTTTTAACACTGACACTCCGCCTAAACTTTTACCATAGATATACCGATGATTTTAGACATGATTGAAAATAAAACATATCTTAAGGGTGTGTAGCGATTAGTATATGAAGCGCATGAAGTTTTGCATTCTGGTTAAAGCAGAAAACTGAAATGAAAAGGAGAATAAAAAGACAGAAAAACAAAGGGGGAAGAAACAATAAGAAATTCAGAGTAAAAGCCGAAAATCATTATAATTGATTCAAAGGTTCGTTTCCTTTAATATTAATTTAACATTTATTTTTTCTTTCGCTTAGTATTGTTTAATTATATAAATATAAACAACCAATAACCTTTTGTCATGTATATGTTAGAACAGTTTGGGTCTTTGCATCCAGTAAGTGGGTTTGGGATTTTTAGGGGTCTATTGGATTTGTGATTATGAAAGATTATACTAGTACAAAAAAAATCCTGTAAATTTTAATAAATAGTCATTATTAAAAAATAATAATAAGTTTTATAATTCAAATTTTAATAGATTTTAACAAATTTTGATAGATTTATATCATGGGATTTTGAAGAATTTTATGAATTTCATTGGAAAACATGAATTTGTGAACATATTTAATGTTAAAAGAATTAATAAAAAACAATGTAACAAAAACAATAAAAAAAATAAAATGAACATTATTTTTTTTATTATTATAAATAATTGATTATAATGTCCTCTTAACTAATATTTTTTTTACATATATAAAATTATATTAATCTTTCATGTATTGACATATTCTCTTTCATGTTTTTTAGTTTAAATAATGTATTCAAAATTATGGTATTCTTTGCAAATAAAGTCACGTAACTTAAAATTATGATATCACACACCTTAAAATGAAGTTAAAAATTGGTGTCAATCAAAAAATGCAGAGTCCACTGAAATATTTAATTAATTTCGCTAGGGGACCCACAAGAAAAAAGGGTAACTTAGGAAAAAGTAAGGATCAAAAGGAAAATGTCTGTTAGTGAACACATCTCAAGTGACCTAGGAAAAAAGTTAGGACGTTAAAGTAGCAACCCGAGTTGAAAACCGAAAGACGGCTCAACAGGGATCATTCAATCAAAGCACAACCTCAAGTCATCACTTGATTTCTAAACAAGAAAAGGCTAAGTACAACAACAACAACAACTTCCCTACAATGGATACTCCTTGTTTATCAACCTAAACACTAGCCTACCTCGACCATTTTTTTTTTTTTTTTTGTTAAAACAAATATTTGTCTTGGGGCACTTTAAGTCAATATCACCTTATCAAAGCATCACTTAATATCTTTCCAAGATTACAATAATTGTTTCCATCATGTCTCCTCACTATTATCAAAATATGAGTATCATCAATAGTTTCCATGCAATCCATATTTCTTTTATATATTATTAAAGTTCAACCATTATACCTCCACCAAAATATAAATAAAATACTTCAACAAAAATACAATCAAGATGACACTTAAAAAATATAGTTGAACAAAGTATTAGTCATTCCAACTTAAAGTTTATCCAATATGAATATTCTTATAATCACATCTTAAAGAAAATGTTCTTCTTTGCTTTAATACCAAGCAAATAAAAAATCACAAAACAAGTTTTATCATCCAAATTTGGGATCTCTAATATCACAAGTATTATTATCTTTCGTTTTGTCTCTTTCTTTTTCTCTTTTCTCTAATATGTTGATATTTTTTCAAAATTCACAACAATAATCTCAATGTCAATAGAAAGAATATTTAGAACTTTGGTACGATTGTCGATACGAATTGAATTGAAACCTCCTCTTTACTTGAATCTACTTCTCTTCTAATAACTTGATTTTTTAATGGGAACTACCAAATATAAAAGGGGATTAGATAGTGAAGTATATTCCTAGGATGGTGAAAGTTGGTAGGATGATTTGTAATTATCTAGTTGATAAAAAATAATACTATAATTAAAAGTAATTGAAGTATTCTCGAATCTTTTGTGTAAAACATAAATATTAAGATACAACAAAAATATTATTTAGAATTGTCTTTATCTATCCTCATTGAAGCTAAAAGAGGCCGATATGATGAAAGATTTTCTTTAAACATCTTAGATAGAAAGGTTAAGGTGTAAATAAATATAAGAACTATATAAAAAGGTGTACAGTGAAATGTTAAATAAAATATATGTGTATATGGGAGACATTTGTTTTACGTGAATTTTTTAATACTAAATTATATTCTTATCTCTTAAATATATTAATTTTAATTTTATAATTTTTAATTAAATAATTTTAATTTATCAAGTATTATAATTATGCAATTTTAATTTTGTAAGTTTTATTAAAAAAATATATATTTTTAAGTATTATAATAATACGATTTTAATAT